TTAATATTATTAGGTAAAATGTTTATTATTATTATGAAAATAATCTTTAAAAAGCAAATTTGAAGTTAATACTTTTCTATAAACAAAATATGTAATAAACATTTAAAGGTTGGAAATTAGAACTTAACTATTGCATTTATTATTATTATGTAAAAAAAATTGTATTTGAGTTCCATATTGAAATAAACCAAGAATTACGTTTACAGTGTTCTTCTGCATCTTCATCAATAGTTATTTAAGTCATTTCCGTTGGCTTTCTCTTGAAGGATTGTCCTCTGCTTTTAATTTTTCAAGAAAATTAGAAGTAACAATTTGATAACACAGATTGAATAATTATCAAATATTTTTACATGCTCATTTGCTTGCTTTATTTCCTGATGCTCATCTATCATCACTATTAGTATCATCACATGGTTTCAATTTGATATTTTTGAACAAGTAAACAAGGTAAGTCACTAGCGAGCATTTTATTCACTAAAATTAAAAAATAAAATAAATAAGTTAGTAAATTGAGTAAAAAACCAAATCATTTGAACTTCTGTTACAGAATTTCTTGAATTTTAAACAAAGTATACTTTGAGGAAAACAATAGATTTTTATAGATTTTTAACAGATTATGGAAGAGAAAATATTGTAGTATTTATTTAAATAATTATAATAGTAATTTTTTTAAAAAAAATTTTTTTTCAACAAGCACAAAGTATCACGTTAACTCATTTGTAACATATGAAAAATATATGAATTGATCGACAAAGAGGCGCAAATTTCTATACCTAAATTTGGAAAGAACCTGGACTGAAGTATCAAACCTAGTTAAAAATTTAAAAACCTTTTCATAGAATACTTCTCCAAAATTAACCATGCAATCCTACTTCAATATTTAGTTTAGAATCTTCAAGCCAATTAAGGAGCACCTTCCTTTTTTAAGATATCTACCAGGAACATTTTGTGATTGTTCTAGCTCAGTAGTAAACCATTGTGCAAATATTAGGTGAGTATTTTTTATTTGTTAAATATTGGTGAGCAGTTGTTAGCTGGTATAACCAATGGCTTGATATTGGTTTTTGATAAGTTTTTAGAGGATATTGAAGCAAACACCAGTATAATTTATGTATTGAGTCAGATTTCATGTTCAAAAGACTTTCTTTATTGCCCTCATTATATCCACCATGTAAGTGGTATGTTAAACTGAGAAGGTTATATGGCTGTTGTTGTTCCAAAGAGAGACCTGATGGAGAATTATTTTTTCCAATTGTTGTAGTTTCAAAATTCACTAATGTAATTTGCAATGCATATAAACCACAAGGTATTTGATAGGAGGAAGACTGACACATCAAATTAAATTTGACAACTGCACCTGATTTGAAACCAGACATATAGGCAATATTATCTGTAAGCCAAAAATTACATTATTTTTGACTAATCTCATTTTACACACATGTTTTTTTTACTGCTTTAGCTACATTACATTTATCTAAGTTATCAGTCTTTGCAATGGTAATTGTAGGCAGATTTTATCTTCATTCCAATGAGCAAAACAAACCAAATAGATCTTTTTGTCACCACATGTACTTTCATCACACATTATTCCACAAAAATAAAAATGAGAATTGGTATCTTTAGGACAATTCTGATGAAGGCATGAAGTAGCAACTTCTTTATTCCAGCATAAAACAGTTCCAGTTGAAAGCCAGTGATCTGGTTCCTTGTCTGTTAAGAAGTGTATAATTGCTCTAGTACATTCAGCAGTGGATGAAATAGTAATACTGCCAGTGTTACTGATTTGGGTTGCAAGATGCATTAATTCAGGCGTATATTGTTTTTTATTTTCTTTTATCATCTTTTTTATTCATTCTGAAGCTGATTAGGAGTAATTTTTTTTTGCTTTTTGTAGTTAGTGATATGATTCTTTTTTTGCCTCTTTAGCTTTCATCTCATTCATCTTAAGGGATCTTAATTGAAGATCTGTATCTCTTTTTACTTTTCCATTTTTTGTATTTTAGTTCCCATTCCATTAATTTTCTCTTGTATTGATGATATGGTTATAAATGCTACTATTTACAAATTCTTGTCTTTTTTTGAATATAGGATGAATATATTTCTCCATGATTGCTTCTTTATCGTACCTCATTGTGGAAAATAGGGTATAAGCATTAATTATCTGATTTTCAGGCAAGTTTTTTACATGCTCAATAAATTCATTTCTCTTTTTTTTTCTATTTTATTTTGTAGAATAAGAGTATTGATTTCATAGATTTCTTGAGGTTCATTAAAGCTAATTTCATGGATTGTTTCTTGGCATTCATCAGAGCTAATTTCATAAGTAATTTTTTTTATTCATTCAAGCTAATATCATTGATGATTTCTTGAGGTTCTAAAGCTCTGAATGGTTCAGTTCAAACTAAAGATGTTAGCTGAAGTTATTTCACTTAGTAAATGATTGTCACCAAATCCAAAATGCTGAAATATTTTTTCATAGTTGCCAAAATTAACTTTATTAATTGCCAAAATTATATGGTTGGCTCGGTCTAAAGACCTCCTATTGCTGCGCCATGTGGCCAAATTTCAAAATAGCAATTTTGTAATTCGTTCAAAAATGTAATAAAAATTTTCAAAAAATAGGACTTCACGTGATTTTAGTTTTTTTACTGCCAAATTTAGATACGATAGTCAAAATCTAGTCTAAATTTGGTAATATTTTTCCTAAATTTAGAAATGATCATAGCGGACAAATTCCTCGCGGGCATAGTAAAGTAAATGTTTTAAAAAAGAATAGAACTCTACAACAAATAATTTTTTTGAGAAAATCGCTCTATTACATCAAAATTAAAGACATATTCTATCAACTAATAGAGCTATTTTTTTAAAAGGTAGGACAGAAAGCGACTTCTATACTTTTAAAATTTTGCCCAAAATTTAGGAGGTCTTTAGATCGAGCCAACTATAAAAATTATATTAATATTGTTTATTATCGCCACAAAATTATACTAACGATCGGCAAAATTTTGCAGTTGTCTCACGGAGCACGAATTAATATTTCTGGGGAGAGGGCTTGATATGATATTCTCTATTGCTGGATGTCATATTGTACAACACAATCACTTGGTTGGCCCCATTGATGGTTTATTTCTTCTGTGGTGGTTGTAAATGTTGTACCAGGAATCGGAATTGCTTCAATTTAACCATGAAACTAAATATGGGGCGTTTGGGGTGCAAGGTACTTTTTTTGATTGGCTAATTTTAAAACTTGGGGTGCATGAAGCCGATTCCACAACATATTAATATGCGCGGAATTTTTTTTCCTATTAGTATCATTTCATTCGGGGATTGTATCCTCGGAATTAGGTGCTTTTTCCTTTCATATATTAATATATATTTTTAAAGGAAAATACATTCCTTGGACCAAAGTATCTATCATTTTCACTAATTCTAGGTAATAAGCTTTATATCGATAATGTAATTTAAGTTTTGATAATTACGCATATAAAACCTAGAAATTTTAGAAATTTTTAAATTAAAAAAAAAACCTGAAATTCGATATTTTTTTAATTGTTCCAAATTTTTACATTATATCATCT